GTCTATTTAAACAGAGAATAACAGACTGTAGTCTACAAGACTGACATGGACAACTAGCCTCTTACAGTAGACTACAGTAGTACTAGAGCTTACATATTGGTCGGGAACACACAAATAGAAACCACCAATTGTGTCAGAAATTTTGCAGTGAAAATGAAGAATCACGTTTCAGCTGTGTGTAAGAAAGCCAACTTCCACCTGTACCGAATTGGCAAAATTGGAAACTTTTCAGTCACGAACAGTCGAACACTACAATGTTAATTAATGCTGTCGTCACATCTGCACTAAACTATTCGAATTCGAAAGCTTGGTTTGTCTATAGGTTAATCCGCCCCTGCTTATGATTGATATACTTCCTCATGTGAAAAGTTCATTAGCTGCTACCAATGTTTCACCAATATATTTCGGGTTTCTTTCTGCTGTTCAGATCGTTATTACTTGGGTTATGTATTTAACAAAACGCTCTCATATCAAGAAATGATAAAAAAAAAGACAAATATTAAAACTTTTGAATTTTAAACAAAAAAGTTAGTTCCTCAATTACGAATTTGTACAATGATACCATATATATCTTTCTTGACATGTAACTTCTTGATGTTGGCGTTAAATAAAATGCAACGATTCTGATAGTGATGAACCGTCAAACATTTCGTGTCATCTTTACATTTCTTAATACACTCGGTAAGACTTTGAGTTTTCAAATCCTCGTAAATGACTGGTGCTGGATAGTACACGCATACCCCGTTTACTTGTTCTGAATCCACAAAGCTACACTTTGCTGTTTTAGCGCATTTTTCTGCGCAATTTTGTGACATAAAAAAGTCAGTAGAAAGCAGTACACTTCCTTTGATTGTCGCTGAAAAATAAATCGCATTATGAAAAATAAATAGTTTTGTTACTGTGATTTTCACCGTAGACAGAAACAACAATCACCATCACATTAGATATCTAGCTAGATGTCTAACTATTAAGATGTCTAACTATTGGGATGTTTAATTATTAGGATGTCTAATTATTAGGATGTCTAACTATTAGGATGTCTAACTATTGGGATGTCTAACTATTGGGATGTCTAACTATTAAGATGTCTAACTATTGGGGTGTCTAACTATTAAGATGTCTAACTATTAAGATGTTTAATTATTAGGATGTCTAATTATTAGGATGTCTAACTATTAGGATGTCTAACTATTGGGATGTCTAACTATTAAGATGTTTAACTATTAAGATGTCTAACTATGAGGATGTTTGATTATTAGGATGTCTAACTATTAAGATGTTTAACTATTAAGATGTCTAACTATTAAGATGTCTAACTATTAGGATGTCTAACTATTAGGATGTTTAACTATTAAGATGTCTAACTATTAAGATGTTTAATTATTAGAATGTCTAACTATTAGGATGTTTAATTATTAAGATGTCTAACTATTAAGATGTCTAACTATTAAGATGTCTAACTATGAAGATGTTTAATTATTAGGATGTTTAATTATTAGGATGTCTAACTATTATGATGTTTAACTATTAAGATGTCTAATTATTAGGATGTCTAACTATTAAGATGTCTAACTATTGGGATGTCTAACTATTAAGATGTCTAACTATTGGGATGTCTAACTATTAGGATGTCTTACTATTAGGATGTCTAACTATTAGGCTGTTTAATTATTAGGATGTCTAACTATTAAGATGTCTAACTATTGGAATGTCTAACTATTGGGATGTCTAACTATTAAGATGTCTAACTATTAGAATGTCTTACTATTAAGATGTCTAACTATTAGGATGTCTAACTATTAAGATGTCAAATTATTAGGATGTCTGACTATTAAGATGTCTAACTATTAAGATGTCTAATTATTAGGATGTCTAATTATTAGGGTGTCTGACTATTAGGATGTCTAACTATTGGGCTGTCTAACTATTGGGATGACTAACTATTGGTATGTCTTACTAATGGGATTATCTAACTATTGAGATGTATAATTATTAGGATATGTATTTATAAGGATGTCTACCAATTAGCATGTCTAATAATTAGGATGTCTAATAATTAGGATGTCTAATAATTAGGATGTCTAACGAATGGGAGGAAACCGATTTTAACCAATTAAAGCGACCCATTGTCATGCGAGATGGATTCCCGAACTAAATATATTCAATTCATTATGAACTTCAAAAGATAAATATTTGCTTTCTGCTTTAAATCACCTGTAGACGCACACAGGATAACAATGAAAACAATATTACCTGGACAACCTTTCTGTTCCGTCCAAATACCATTTTCACCACACTTCAGAGTACCCGTCAAACCAATAGCAATACAGTTAAAAGTAAAATCTTTACCAGCAGTACCAGATTCTGTTACATCACCAGAGTTAGTGATTTGTTCACCTTTTGGACACTCTACAGCTGATATTGTAAAATAAATTTATTAGACAATATCCTAAATGTACGTCGGTGAAATCCAAACGTAAACACTATACAGCATTATAGTCCGATATTTATTCTTCATTTTACAAACAAGTCAGTCTTCTGATATATTTCCATTCCAGTCTTCTACTACTGAAATATTAACCGTACACTGTGCCTTTGTATTCACCTTCATCTGATAATCATAGTCTTACCTTTCATCAGCACTATATCGACATTGATAAGCATTAAAACTGAGATAAACATCTGTTTCATGTTGTCGGTGGTATAGTTTGTACAGTCGGCCTAATTACTGAATATCTATAAGCTTCTCATACAATTCTGTAAAATGTCGACTATATTTATAATGCCTGTTATCTATTAAATCTATTAATTGTGGCTCATTTTAATTGGTGTATATTAAACAAGGTTTTGATTGGGTAGAATATGATTATAGGAAAATATCATCGAATGTTATAGTCCCATCTCATCCGCCCACCTGCCTCTATCTTCTACGTGTGAACCACAGAATCGAACAATATATGTTATATTATATTACAATTATAAAATAAAGTATACAAATTTACAAGTTACAAAAGCAAAGTTTAATATAATCATAAGAATTAATTTATCCCAAAAAACATGATGAATTATATTAGCGGCATCAATTCTTACAGACTTTTCAAGATGGCTGCTTAATAGTCAGGAATTTACAAAAACGGCAGAGGTACAAAATTAAGATATTAATGGTAAAAATACTCTGTAGTTACAATATTTCAAGTTTTTGCTAAAAATACGATTTGCTTGGTGATTTTTTTTATTATCATTTTATCAAAAAATATATAATAACAACAGTTTATCCGTTTTGATACTTTGAATGAAAACAGAGATAGAGATAGAGATAGAGATAGAGATATAGCGATAAGGATAGAGATAGAGATAGAGATGAAAATAGAGATAGAGATAGAGGAGATAGAGATAGAGGTAGCGATAGGGGTAGAGATAAAGATAAAGATAGAGATAGAGATGACGATAGCGATAGAGGTAGAGGTAGAGATAGAGGTAGAGATAGAGGTAGAGATAGAGATAGAGATAGAGATAGCGATAGCGTTCTCCATCACCTAAATATATATTTTTGCATTTTTAGAGGTAGAGGTAGAGATAAAGATAGAGATAGAGGTAGAGATAGAGATAGAGGTAGAGGTAGATATAGAGATATAGATAGAGATAGAGGTAGAGATAGAGGTAGAGGTAGATATAGAGATAGAGGTAAAGATAGAGATAGAGATAGAGGTAGAGGTAGAGGTAGAGATAGAGATAGAGATAGAGGTAGAGGTAGAGATAGAGATAGAGATAGAGATAAAGATAAAGATAAAGATAGAGAAGGGGATAGAGATAGAGATAGAGATAGAGGTAGAGATAGAGATAGAGATAGAGGTAGGGATAGAGATAGAGATAGAGATAGAGATAGAGGTAGAGGTAGAGGTAGAGATAGAGATAGAGATAGAGATAGAGATAGAGATAGAGGTAGAGGTAGAGATATAGATACAGATGCGGATAAAGATAGAGATAGAGGTAGAGATAAAGATAGAGGTAGAGATAAAGATAGGTAGAGATAAAGATAGGGATAGAGATAGAGATAGAGATAGAGGTAGAGGTAGAGATAAAGATAAAGATAGAGATAGAGATAGAGATAGAGATAGATATAGATATAGAGATATAGGTAGAGATATAGGTAGAGATGGAGGTAGAGGTAGAGATAGAGATAGGAGATAAAGATAGAGGTAGAGATAGAGATAGAGGTAGAGGTAGAGGTAGAGGTAGAGGTAGAGGTAGAGATAGAGATAGAGACAGAGGTAGATATGGAGATAAAGATAAAGATAAAGATAAAGATATAGATAGAGATGCGGATAAAGATAGAGATAGAGATAGAGGTAGAGATAAAGATAGAGGTAGGGATAAAGATAGAGGTAAAGATAGAGGTAGAGATAAAGATAGAGATAGAGATAGAGATAGAGATAGAGATAGAGATAGGGATAGAGCTAGAGATGAAGATAGAGATAGAGATAGAGATAAATATAGAGGTAGAGGTAGAGATAGAGATAGAGATAAATATAGAGATAGAGATAGAGATAGATATAGAGATAGAGATATAGGTAGAGGTAGAGGTAGAGGTAGAGGTAGAGGTAGAGGTAGAGGTAGGGATAGAGATAGAGATAGAGATAGAGATAGAAGTAGAGATTGAGATAGAGATAGAGATAGAGATAGAGATAGAGATAGAGATAGGGATAGGGATAGAGATAGAGATAGAGATAGAAGTAGAGGTAGAAGTAGAGATTGAGATAGAGATAGAGATAGAGATAGAGATAGAGGTAGAGGTAGAGATAGAGGTAGAGGTAGAGGTAGAGGTAGAGATAGAGATAGAGATAGAGATAGAGATAGGGATAGGGATAGGGATAGGGATAGATTTCGGGGAAGGGAGGGTTTGATTCTCCCAAATGTACAGGCCTAGGGTGGAGCAGACACTTTATTTAGAAATTAGGATTAAGGGTCTTGATATTGGGTTTTCTTCTGTTCTTATTCTGATCTGAAATTAGAAAAAATAACTCGCCCGATGGGCGAGAAGTATAGTATCTGTTATGTACTGATTGTTTTTAGTTTACTATGAACAATATTATCATTTAAGTTCTTATTTTTTGAATATGCAACTATCATTTTCTGCTTATAGACATGGGGGAATTTCTCTTGAAGGCTCTTATAGTGGGCATGAACTATCTTGCTTGCTCGATTGCTGGTTGTATTAAACGGGACAACAAAGGGTGCTATGCCTACATTATGATGAATATTAAGTCCTATAGGTCTTGCTGTATTCAATGTCTCAATCCAATGGGCCTCCCTAGATTGACGGAATTTGGTAGTTTCATCTTCGGGCAAGTCAATTTCTATACGCTCAATTGGGATTAGGGTGAGATCGTTTATTGAATGGTCGTCGAGGTTAAAATGATTAGAAACAGGCTTGTCTTTCTTTAATTTGATGTCTGACCTATGAGCATTAAAGCGAGTTCGTAAATTATTCTTAGTTCCTCCTACATATTGTTTGGGGCATTTCTTGCATGAAATTAAATATATTATATTCGAATGTTCACATGTTAGATGTTCCTGGATCGGGTACCTTTTATTCGTAGAGTTGCTTACAAAATAATGAGTTTCTGATATAAAGGGACATGTTTTGCATCTACTGGACAAACATGGAGCACTTCTTAAACCTGGAGGTACTTCGGCATAAAGTCTGTTTTTAGCTGCTATCTGTGCTAAGGTGGAATTTCGTAAAAAATGTTTCGTAAAAATCGTTTAGAGTACCCACGCTCTTTCAGTTTTGAGAAAACAATCGTACAGGCTTGGTTGAAATCAGAAGATCTTGTACAAATTCGATGAAATCGTAAAACTTGTGACTTAATTATACCAGAAAAGGTATGTTTTGGGTGAAAGGAGCTCTTGTGCAAGAGTTGATGAGTATCAGTTTCTTTGAAATACACTTTAATATCCAGTTTATTTGTTTCTGCTATGGAATCTCCCTTAAAGACTGTGGTATCGAGAAAGTCTATGCTTTTGTCACTCACGCTTGCGGTTAGTTTGATAGAAGGATGGTGGTTGTTGAGAATTTCAAAGAATTCCCAAAACTGTTCGATAGAATAAGTCCAAACCATAAAAATGTCATCCAAAAAGCGTCCGTAAAAAAGTGGGTCAAATGGACAGAGGGGCAACACCTCACGTTCCCACTCTGCCATGAAAAGGTTTGCGTACGAAGGGGCGAATCGTTTGCCCATTGCTGTCCCTGAAGTTTGTAAATATGTTTTACCATTAAATGTGAAATCGTTTCGACTAAGACAAATCTCTAAAAGCTGTAGAATTGCATCGTCGGGTCTGTTTGGATCTGGGTTTCTATTAAAAGCTTTACGAACTGCCGTTAAACCAGTAGTGTTATCGATATTGGTATACATAGAAGAAACGTCGATAGAAATTAAAATAGCATTAGAGGGAACTCGAAGATTTTTTATTTTATTGACAAAATCGGTTGTGTCTTTAAGGTAGGCGCGATGTTGGCATGCTAGAGGTAGTAAGAAATGATCAATGTATTCTGACACTGCATATGACTCACTACCACAG